CCGAAGAATATTAGGCTATTTATTTTTCTTCCTGTTTGCAAACGGTTTGTTTCACTTAACCTCACTGAAGTTTGTGTTATGCTCAAAACTAGAACATGGGGTCCGAAAATAAACTGAATTCAAGCTTTTCAATTTCATTTATATTGTTATAAACGAGACAAATTGACTCATCAATGAAGACATTTTCTCCTGATGCCCGGGTAGGCAGCTCGCTAGGTTTTGAGACAGTCTTTGTCTCGCTTATGGGATGCTGAATATTCCTCATGTACACGATGTCACCTGTCCGTCTTTCTGAGCTGGAGATACACACGTTATCCTCCGCGTTTCATGATGGAACAGCCAAATGTTTTGTTCGAGAAACGGCAACGGCGTTTACATAACGCCACAAGGCCCTGTAGAGTGTTTGTTAATATTTAGACATCTGCATGATTCCACACTTGGCGCCAAGGTTGCTCTCTGTGCAGTGTTATACGGCGAGAGGAATTTAAAGGGATAGTTCACCCCAAAATGAAAATTCGGTCATCATTTACTCTACCTGATGTTCTCCAAACCTATATGACTTTATATCATTACATGAAACAGAAAATATGCTTATCATGTGTGTTTTTCTTCCATATATTATCAGTGAACTGAAGGTTTAGGGCAACAAAATGGTGATTAAATGATGACAGAATTTTTTATTTTCATGCGAACCATCCTGTTAACGTGTGTCTTCCAGAGATGATGCTGAGAGATACAGCTTCACCAAAAGCACATGCTCATGGCTGCACATGAAGACACACCTCTCACTACACAAGCTCAACCGTTAGGCCTATAGGATTTCTTAAAAAGTCTAGCCAGGGATTGATTCTCCTAAGCTGTTTAGAAGCTTAGAAGACTCTTAGTGATTAGGCCTACTATTCTCGTTTAAAAACATCAGTGAGTTAATGAGAGTTAGGCTATGTTTAGAAAAGCATACGATAATAATACTCTAACCATTACCACTGAACATAGTATTGTGCGCTAAGTGTGCATATTTCCTGTATGCATGCCTTGATGACCAACTACATTTGCCGGTAATGAGCAGAATATAACAGAGCTTACTGCATAGAATACTGTATCCCACAATGCAATGTGCTTTACTTGGCTTTCCATGTTAGTGTGATTAATTGCTTGATAACAGCAGTACTATATCAGCATGATTTTCAAAGTTTCTTCCTGGGCTTACTTAATTGTACGGCTAATGTTAAGATATTTTGTACAAAAATAAACTAAAAATGCAAAATTTTTATTTAACAGCCAGATGCTATTAAACATTAAACGCCTGAGTTAAACATGCAATATGATTAGGTCATGTGACCATACTACTATTACATTCATTGAAAATAGCAGGCTTTATACAGTTTATGCTACACGTGATTTTTATGTAGTAAGCTGTTATTCCATTCTGAAATTTTCTAAACGACAGCTGTTGTGTTTGTGAGCAAGAGAGAGATCCAATATGGGCACTTAAATCTGGCCTTTGCTTAGTATTCTTACATTTTATTTATTAATTTTTTAATTTAAGATTTATTTTTAGCATTTTTGCCTTTATTATATAGGACAGTAGAGACTTAACAGGAAGCAACATGAGGGGGGCGGGATCAAAAAGCATCAGAAGCCTGGACTCAGGACTAGGGATGGGCGATACCACTTATTTTGTTTTCGATACGATACCGATATTTTTCAAGGCAGTATCGTCGATATCGATACCGAATCGATACTTCTGAACTAAACTTTTAAATTATGAAATGTATTAAATTATTAAATTACTAAGAGTAAAATGGGTAATGATAAGCACTTAACTTTGTTTAAAACACATTTTAACATTCAATACGCCTTAATTGCGACTTATTAGGTTATATTTTTCTTTACACATGGTTCAAATACGTTTTTTGTTTACACATGATTCAAATCTATAAATACTACAGTTGAACTATGGTCACTTTAGTAAAACCATGGTTAATTTTCATAAGGGACTGCCAGTGACAGGCTGTTACATGCATAAAATGCAACATTTTTATTCTGACAGTGTATGATTTCTATTAACGTTACAGAATAGTACATGATCAATATTATCTTTCAACGTTCAATTTAAATAACTGTAATTGCACAAACTATGTAGGCTACAATTTCAGTTTGTTTATTGTGAAATAACTCAAACACATATGTTTTTTTTCTCTTTTCTCTGATAAGCATTGTTCAGGGCTGCCGTTCCCAAAAGCTTTAATGCTTTCTTATGATACTTTTGGGAAATAACCACTGAAAGGTCATATCTATCATATTTAAAGAGCTTGAATATTTAAAGTGGTAGATCACATAAATGCATCGTATGCTTAAGCAGAACGCTCTGTTGTTGTGGATGCTAATATAGTTATCGTCTTTAGCCTTTAGCAGGTGGCTAGTTCATCAGTTTCTTACTAAGTCTGCTGTTTTCCAACCTATACAGTTTTGGCTTCTCACATGGAACACCTGAAACTGTCTGAGATCAACCTGAAGTCTTCTGCTTGCACCATATTAACCGAATTATAATGATGTTTTGGTTCCTTCTCTGTTTTAGAGACTGTACTTCATTCCTTATTTAGTTTTGTTTGTCTGCAGTCGGACACATGCTCTGAGAACCATTACATTAGCTAGCGGCAGCTCTTCCAGGAACAAAACAGACACAGGTGCAGATTTTCTTTTTATATTAATATAATTTGGAAAGTCTGTAATGGTAGAGTGGAACCATTCCTCAGCGAGTACAGATTTCATACTGTTGTCCCACTTACAAACTTCCAATGACTTGGTTTAACTTCATCTAACTTCTGAAACTTAATTTGAAATTCCACTGAGGAAGTCTCAGAAGTGCTCTTAAGCCACGTCTCGCTGAGAACAGGACTAGATTGCGGGGTTGCTTTGAACATGCAAATCCCTCTCAAAGAGACCACTGCCAATCCTGTCCACTCCAAGGAGCTTCCACTATCCCATCTCCCCTGTTCCCTCTCGTCCCATCCCCCATGCACTCTCATTGTGTGCCAAGCACCGCACATCTGTCCGTGACAGAAGCGCCGGGGCTCCATTCTCTGCTTGTTTGTTGTCATATGGCTTGTGTGCTTCATCAGTAAATCCAAATAACATGGGTAAGGAGGCCAGGCCTGTGGGCAAACTGAAAAGGCTTGCAAAGTGGCAGAGAGGAGAACAGATTTACTCCATGCAAACACATTGCCAACTGTTGGGTAAATGGAAAGTTTAGAGTGGTTTGCCCCTCGAGTGATGCAGACCAGTTCCCTTGTATTCGAAAACATTTGAAAATTGACATGTTTTATGTCTGCATGTTTGTAAAGGGAAAACTTTCAGGCCAAACTCCATGAGTTTAGAACTGTATTGAACTGTACTGTGCAAAGTCCAACTATTCTCTAACCTTCTGACCTTAATAGAACAGTTCATCCAAAAATAAGTCGTCATCATTTACTCACCCTCATGTTTTCCAAGTTTGCATGACTCTTTCATCTGTGAAACACAAAAGAAGATATTTGAAGATTGTTTAAGCTGTTTTTGTCCATATAATGAAAGTTGGTGGAACCTAATATTTTCAAGCTCCAAAAAGGACTTCCCAGCCATATACTTTGGAAGTAAGACGATTAAAAAAATGTTTTAAATTGCTAGTAAATGTCTCAAATAATTACAAAGAAATGGCAGAAAGACTGAAACTGAAACAGTAATCTTTGTTTTGTTTTACCTTTGAAAAAATAATTTTAACAGTGTAGTTTAAGGCATTAGCATGTGAACTCAACCACCAGCAATTAGTTAAACTTGTAAAAGTTATTTTAAATAAAGTAGTATTTTCCCAGTTTTGGCCATGAACAGACAATAATCATCCCTAGAAAAGAAGGAAGTACTTAGACGTTTCTCCGAATTTGGGATTGACCCAATATGAGTCTTTATTTTGACGTCATTATAGATTTTTTTTGCAAATGTATTTAAAGGCTCGGATGAAATCAAATGAAATATCCAGAGCCAAAAGCATGACAATAAGCCAAACAAACAAGTTTAATCAGTTATTTAGTTGATCTATTTGTAACCAAGTAGTTAATTTATCTTCTATAAGCTAATTCTAGCTATTCTAATCCTCTCTTTACTTTACTCTTTACGTAACTTCTGTACGGGTGGCACTTTCATTTGGAAAAGTATAAAGGCGCGATTTATAGCCGTGTGCTTCTAAAACACCACCCTAATTATTTAAGAGGTGCTTTTTTCCCTTCTGTATATCCAGATGAACTCCCTTGAACCCATCTGGACAGCAGCCATGCCCTTTCCATGTCTCGCTTTCAAATACACTGCTGCTTAACTGTGTTTCTGGAGGTTTTCCCTGGCTACTTCCCCTTTTCAAATACTTCATGGGGGCGACAGCTGAACTGATTTGTTCTAGTGCTGGATGTGAAGAGAACAACCACATAGCTTCAGCATCTGCATTTTAAATGATTATTTGAATTTCAAATTGTTCTTAAGAATTTTAAATGACATGCAGCTACATATAGATAAATAAGGTGTTAACAGCCTTTATGTAATACTGTTTCGGTGTATAAAAACCCATTGACTGAAATATGAGAAGACCACACACACACGCAGCCAGAGGTTATAGTTAGACCTTCGCATCGAGGGGTCACTGTGTCAGAGAAATGCTGACCAACATATATACTGGTTATTTTAACACAGATCTAATACAATATACTTCCTGTGTAAGTGAATCAGTTTTCTTATTATTGCGGAAAGTCTAAATATCGATTTTTTTTGTTAGAGAATATCACTATGGTATTGCGACAAAAAATATACTTTTTAAATATAGATCCCAACCCCAAACCTCAATGCACATTACTTCTTTTTCTTTAAAATTATACATTTTGTGCTGAAATAGAGGGTAAAGACAGCATATGGATGGGGCCTTGGCAAGCTGCCACCGATTCCTTCTTGGCACATATCTCGGTACAGAAAGTTCCCATCAAGCCCCGTCCAAAATATGTCAGCTAGCTTTTTTTATATAACTTGTCCCTCTCCACTCGAACATTTGCTGCACATGGTTTGACATCGCATCTCTGGCCCAATGAGTGTTTGATTTGCCCCAGTGCGGAGGGCCACTAGCCCTTTCTCTGCCAACTTATTGAATGGTTCTGAATTTATTAAGCACTCTCGACTGCATTGCCCACACAAGTGGCACATCTTGGTGGGCCAAAGCGTTCCTCTGCAGTGCAGAAGTGTAGCTAAAGGCATTCTGATGTGCTTCATCAGGCAGTTCAGTTGCTCTCCTTGGTGCTGAAGTTGCACTAACAGGTCCTTTTCTCTCTCTCTCTCTTTCGGTTTCCTTCACTGCCTTTCCACTAGCTGCACTTTTCCTTATACATGTCACATAGACATCTGCTATTTTAGATACTTAAAGAAAACTTTCTTAATTCTAGGCGCTATTTTTGTCTTCATGCCAGTTTTTCCTCGAACATTAATTTATTTGTGTTTTAATACAGTGTTTCCCAAGCTTTTTTGTTTTGTGTACCCCTACATTCCCACCAATAACGCCCTAACACCCCTTCATTAATATAAAACCTTTAGCATTGTTATTAATCTTACTTAAAATGGCTATTAATACGGTTTTTCACTTTGAAATGGAAACAAATGAATGATATGATTAAAAATCAGACTCATGAAGTCTCACCTCTCTTTTTTTAATGAGACACCTGAGCTTGTTTGTCTTCACAGGTTTTGACGCTTCTGAAGGAAATCAAAGTGAAACGACAGTTTTTCCTCGAACATGAATTTATTTGTTTTAATACAGTGTTTCCCAAGCTTTTTTGTTTTGTGTACCCCTACATTCCCACCAATAACGCCCTAACACCCCTTCATTAATATAAAACCTTTAGCATTGTTATTAATCTTACTTAAAATGGCTATTAATACAGTTTTTCACTTTGAAATGGAAACAAATGAATGATATGATTAAAAATCAGACTCATGAAGTCTCACCTCTCTTTTTTTAATGAGACACCTGAGCTTGTTTGTCTTCACAGGTTTTGACGCTTCTGAAGGAAATCAAAGTGAAACGCTACTAGCACTCGCAGAAATCTAACTGTCTTGTTTCTTAAATATGCACATATATTCTGAGTGTCATTCACACAGATTAACAAACTCAATATGTACACATCTTTTCTCAAACAGGAACTGAATGTTTTAACACAATAACTATCAAAAACAAGACAAGATTGTGTTTTTCACACACACATTTGTACAGCTATCCTTGAAGACATTCTTAGAAGACATCCACTGGCACAATGCAATCCCTGGCCACATACCCTAACATTAACCATCACAAGTAAATGCCTAACCCCACCCTTAAACTAATTACAACCTTGTCCCCAAACAGCCCTCAAACAGGGGTGCCAGAAAGTGAGGACCAGCCAAATTGTTGCTTAAGTACCCCTAGTTGAGAATCACTATTTTTTCTGTAGGTTCTAGCACTAGCACTACTGTTCTTCCCTGTTCATCAGATGTAATCTTAGAAAGCTCCACCTCTAGAGTGTGGGTGGAAATGGGGTTTGTGGTCTGCTCTTCAGTGTTTGATTTCCTAGGGAAACAAATTAGATGTGCTTTTCCCCCACTAGTTTTCAAAAGCTGTGAAATGAATTGTGCATTTGCATAGTTTTTACCTAGATTGTGTTTCTCCTGTGAAGGTTTAGTGGTCATTCAGTCAAAACACTCTCATGCAAAATCAACATTTTCGCTTTTCTTTATGTAAATCCATCTCATTTGCTTTTAATCATTCTGCATTCAAAATCACTATAGGGTGTTTATGGTATAAGTGTTTGAGCTGCGGAAATAGTCACGACAGGGCTTATTGAGAAAAATGTCTGAAAGCAAGCAACACTCATTGACATTTTACACTTGAAGCATTAGTGCACAGAGCACGCACACCTGCATGGAGGTTTTAAGGTGGACCAGAGTGTTGAAAAGGCGGCTCTGTTTCAGAGTATATTCTTCAGTCAACTTCCTTTCTCAGAACAATTCTCATTCCTGTTGAGTTATTTTATTACTGTTTCTATTTCACTGAATGTTCAATCTATTTCTTTGTCCATTGTTTGTGCTGCAATATCTCTATTCTGCAGTGTAGTTTACAAATTTTCACTCACTCTTAATGCATACAGTAAACTATCTGACTATATTGTGAATAATAAATGAGCCTGAGAGTGCGTGAGCAAACGCCTGCATTGATGTGTGAAATACAGTAAAGCAGCTGACGCTCATGTTATGTCATGCACCTTTTGAGTTCACTATCAAGGGGTATATCAAAGATCACATTTCTAGGTTTTTTTTTCATTCTTTCCATACCGACATTTACTATCAGTGACTGCAGACAAAAACAGCTAATGCCATTGGTTCTTACTATGGCAATCGATGTAGATGTATCAGATATTGAACAAACAGATCCAATTACTTGCTAAATAACAGCGAGTAGCCAGTCAGTCTTAAAGATCGGATTTGAAACACAAATCTAATTTGTTCAGTGTGTTAACCAAGCCTCTGTATCTATGTCTACTGTTACAAATATTAGGCTACAGTGGGGCTAAAAAACCCTCTTAAGCCTTTACAAAATGTGTGGAAAATGGTAGGAGTTGTTTTGATTAAAAATGATGTAAAGATAAATGCAGCTAAAGTGCTTTTTACCAAAAGTGTAAAAAGCTGAGGACTGAAACGATTATCAAACTAACAGTATTTTTTGTCTTTTCTTTGTCTTGTGTTTTGACTTTTAGCCCCAAAAAAGAAAAAAACCTTAAGAAAATGTAACATCTACTGAAAGAGAGAAACACACATAATATTTTGCTAAAAATATTTATCTATGAAGTGGTTGGCAGAGCAGTTGACAAATCTGTCATTGGAAAAAACTGTTATTGTTAAGCCCTGCCATAGAAATTAACACTTTCTTAAGAGCTGTGATCACATTTATGCATAGTGTAAAAAATTATTTTTTTTTAAATCATAATAATATGTTTTTAAATATCACTGTCAAGATGTTATTGTATCTAAGAGCAATGATTCAACTTTGGTATATTCACAGGCTTCCAATGCTGAATATGTCCACTCCCAGTGACCTCAAGTCTCCCTGCGTGACGCGAAACGGCATGGTCAAGCTGCCCCCCCAGCCCAACGGCCTCGGTTCGGCCAGCATCACTAAAGGTACTCCAGCTGCCAAGAATCGCCTGTGCCAGTCGTCCTCCGTGCCCACCATCTTGCCTCCCCCTAGCCTGCCCTATCACCTGGAGCCCCTGCCCACAGCGGCGTCACTGCTGGGCCCCGACCTGGACACGAGCCCCGTGACTGCCATCAAACCTCCCCTCTGGCAATTTCCCAAGCCCCTGCTGGAGAGACAACTGGTGCTGGACGAGAAGGTGCTGAACCGGCTCTTGTGGTACTTCACCACGGCCGAAAAGTGCATTCTAGCCCAGGTGTGCAAGACGTGGCGGAAAGTGCTCTACCAGCCCAAGTTCTGGGAAGGTGTGACGCCCATTCTACATGCCAAGGAACTCTACACTATCCTGCCCAATGGGGAGAAGGAGTTTGTCAGCCTGCAGGCTTTTGCTCTCAGAGGCTTCCAGTCCTTCTGTCTGGTGGGGGTCTCGGATTTGGACATTTGTGAGTTCATCGACAACTATCCGCTGTCGAAGAAGGGAGTCAAGTCTGTCAGTCTAAAGAGGTCGACTATTACGGATGCGGGACTTGAGGTAATTATAGATTCCAGGATGTCATCCTGTATTTTATTTGACTATCGAGTAATTCAGATATCATTTGTGTGCAAACAACTATGTGTATAATGCAGGGGTCACCAAACTTGATCCTGGAAGGCCGGTGTCCTGCAGAGCTTAGCTCCAACTGGCCTCAATACACCTGCCTGAAAGTTTCAGGTTAGACCTTGATTAGCTGGTTCAGGTGTGTTAATTAGGGTTGGAGCTAAACTCTGCAAGACACCAGCCTTCCAGGACCTAGTCTGGTGACCCCTGGTATAATGTGTAATGGTAAAAAATCTATCAACTGGTAGAGATATATACCAAAAGTATATATAAAACACACACACACACACTGCAAACTGCAACTTCCAACAAAATAATGCCAAACTTATTAATTTGTTATGTATAATCTAACATTTTGCTTTGCATTTTTATTCAATAAAATGAATTACATTTCTTTTTACATTTCTGGGGTTCTCAGAAGCAGAAGTCCTCATAGTTTGGAAAATACTATAGACCAATATGGAGTAGACGTCACAGTTAACATCACTTGCAGCTGCGCGCACATTGTGGTGCAAAACACTGGTAACAAGTGGAGGGAAATGGGTCAAATCCATGGAATAAGAGGAAAACATTTTTTTGTGCCTTTGGATGTCAGTATCAGAAGGCAAATCATTTTTATAGAATACTGTCATCAAATACGCCATTTGAATCTAAAATGCAGATGTTTAAATGGACAGACTATAAAACCTGCTATGATTACCCTACTTTTAAAGCATAAATTAGATTTTAACAATAGGTCTAGCTATTTAATATTCACATATGCACTTCAAGAGACCCTACAGTTACAGCATGAAATACTGTTTAACCTGTTAACTATTTAACTCTTTATTCCATGGCTTCCAAGACTGCTTCTTGAAAACTGTCATATTCTGCTGACAGATAGGCTTCGCCCACAAAAAACGTCTTCACTGTTTGCAAACACTGAATTGGTATATATGCCCTAGTGGTTAATGGAAACTACAGCAATTTTTTGTGTGTGTGTGTGTGTGTTCCGATATGCTCCAGTAGCAAAAAGAGCAAAAAAAATATGTCAACAGTCTGTGCAAGGGGTCGATTTGTAAAGTATTTATTTCTAAATTATTGAGTAATTATGAAAAGTTCATGTAGTGTTTCAAACATAAGTTAAACCATGATTACTCCTAAAAATAAATCCTTCAAATTTAAGATCTCCATCATTTACCGCCCTCCCCTATTAAGTATGATTAAACAATTAGCTAGATGGCAATGTGGTCGGAACATCCAACATACATGGTTAGAAACAACTGTGTTTTGCAAGAACATGCAGCAGTGATCACACTCATCACACTTGTCTCTATGCTGTTGCTATTCTAGGACTGGGCTTTTGTTGCCATGGTGAACTCTCAAATTGTTCGTGACGGCATCCAAGCTTTTTTCCCCTCAGATATGCAAACCAGCATGTGCAATGATAGAGACTGTGGAGCTTCTTCTGTCTGAGAGAGGACTGTGCACCTCAGGCTTGTTTGTGAATTATATAGGGCAGGGAAGGGCAGATATCACAGCACAAGGCTTGGATCATGACCAAGTACTCAATAAGAGAGCAGAGTCCTACCTTCAAGAGTTGTTTTTCTTGCCTGAAATTAGCTCTTTCATTTGCATTTTGTCTTAACCATTGACCCCTTCATTATAATTAAGATGTCCCTGAAACATTTAAGTGATTAAAACCGAAAATGTGCACATTGTTCCCTTTTTCTTTGGCTCAGTAACTAGGTCAGTGGGGTCACACAATCCATTAGTTGTGGACCACCTACAGTGGGGAAAAAAAGTATTTAGTCAGCCACCAATTGTGCAAGTTCTCCCACTACATTTGCTGATAATCCCAAGAATTATCTTAAATATTGAGTTGTTCGTTATTTGGGCCATACACTGGATATATATTTTGGACCATCTTTAATTTCCCAATTTACATCAAACCAGGGGTGCATTTCCCAAAAGCATCATTAGCCAACTATTGTCGCAAGTTCAGTTAAACTCTACTGGTAACAACAGAACTTGCGATCATAGTCGCTTTTGGGAAACGCAACCCAGGTTAGTATTAGAATAGGTAAAGTAATCCTCAGTTTCTATAAGACAAATGATTGGAAGTGCTTAAGATACCAATCTGTATGACCATTGTTATTTTTATTATTATTATTTCCATTTTGTCTTGTTTTATAAATTAAAGAATGTGGCACTGAAGGAATGTTAAAGGCTCTATTGACAGCATTTGTAGCATAATGTTGATTACCACAGGAAATAATTTTGACATTTAATTATGTCCCTCATTCATTTAAAAAGAAGCAGACATCACATGCAAAATATAGTAACTACACATCTGGCCAAACATATATGACTGAAATAGGGTCTCTTGAATTATAATCGTTCTATGACATAACATAAGGAAAACTAACAGTAACACGTGCGCTGTCTATCACTCACCGATTATATTGTACAGTGGGTGTCCACATAAATCACAGGTTATTTCCATGCTTTCCCGCTTTGCTCAATAATTTCAAATCTTGAATTTTGTTGTCATTGTAGACTGGCTATTGCAGTCTAATTGAGACCGAACACTGTGAGCATCTGCGACATCGATAAATGAGTGAGTCGGTGAGCAGGAAAAGTGAAATGACCGTTCATTTTTCATTTATGCGAGCGTGCGGATTTCTGCGCAGAATAGTAGAACGTAAATGTATTTTTATTCCAAAATTCTTATTTTCAGTGATAAATTTGGATTTATAACATACATCTGATAACTATAATGCATGTTGACATTTTCTAGATTTAACTAAAGACAGCAATTTCAGTCATAATGATGTTCTATGAACAAATTTTACCAATGAGAAATGTTCTGTATTTGTTTTATTAGGTTGTCAAAAAACCTTCCTGCTATTGGTTTGGGAAAGTTAATTTATGGTGAAAACAAAGCAATTAGAGAAAGTTTAGTGTAGAGAATGTTTAGCCAGTAGAGCCATTAGTGAACAAGTTCAAAGGCATCCCTGCAACATTCCAGCAATGTTAGGAATTGGTTTACACAGAAATAACAAAGTGGGAACCATAACCTGACATTATGGGAACGTCCTGGGTTTTCAAACTTTTCTGGAGCCTCTCAAGCACTGCTCATTTTAGATGTTTCCCTTATTTAACACAGTTGAATTAACTTTTTTTAATTACCTGAGCTAGGTCTGTTTAATAAGGAAGACTGAAAATCCCTACTCCAGGATAATGCTCTGAATGTTCATTAAAGGGGTCATATGATGTTGCTAAAAATAACATAATTTTGTTTATTTGGTGTAATAAAATGTGTTTATGCGGTTTAAGGTTAAAAAAACACATTATTTTCCACATACTGTACATTATTGTTTCTCCTCTATGCCCCGCCTTTCTGAAACGCGTCGATTTTTACAAAGCTCATCGGTCTGAAAAGCGAGGTGTGCTCTGATTGGCCAGCTATCCAGTGCGTTGTGATTGGCCGAATACCTCAAGCGTGTGACGGAAATGTTACGCCCCTTACCATATTGTGATGTGTCCCGGCGCAATGAGACAAAACCAATAAAACCCATTATAACGAGGCATTTGTTGCATCCAGTGGGGACATAATTACGGATTATAATGACTTATACTGTCTTTTACGCATTGCGTTGCATCGCACTGCGTAAACATAAAACCATGTCTGCATTTGTGATCGGAGAAACGACAAACAACAAGCACTACTCTACACTGCCCAAAAGTCACGTTTGAATCGTCAGTGGCAAAT